TCCCTAGTTATAAAAATTATTTTAAAATTTTAACTTACAGGGGGGTATAAGAGAAGGTGCCACCTACAGCTTGTTTGTTTTGGCCTGTTAGAGAGGGTGTCCTGCAGACCTCCAGAGCCCTTTGGGAGAGGGGGCTGGAGGCAGGAGAGCAGAGCTGCCTTAGAGAGCTGCAGCAGGATCTCATCACACCTGGGTCCTGCAGGCTCTGCCTACATTCAAGGCACTCAGATGCTGAACCCTTTCCTGGAGGTGGGACCTTGGTTGGGCCAAACATTCCTCTTCCAAAGGCCAGCCACAGGCTGCAGGAAGTTCCCATGTGACAGAGGTCGGTAACAGTGAGACTGGGGTAGCAAGTCTGCAGGTCAGAGGTACCTGTTTCTGTAATTCCCAGGTGTTTTTCTCCCACCAGCAAAACAGGTTGAGCAGGAATAAGGGAGACAAAAATCAAGAAGAAAAAGGAAGAGAATCTCCTTCCAGAGAACTGGCCCAGAAACAAGATACTAAAGCGGGGAAAGACTCTAAAAAGGAAGAAAGTGTTCAGAAAACAGACCTGAAAAGTAAAGCTGAGACTGAGACCAAGAGTAAAGAGAACAAAGCTATGAATGATAAAGTCAAGGCCATGGAGAAAAAGCTGATGGGGAAGGACAAGAAGGAGGAAGAGAATGGTTCAGTGTTGAAGAAGGACACTGGGAAGGACAAAAAGGAGGAAGAGAAGAGCTCAGAGTTGAAGAAAGATGCAGAGGAGGATAAAAAAGAGGAAGACAACAGTTCATATTTTAAAAAGAAATCTGCAGGAAAGGATAAAAAGGAAAAAGAGAATGTCTCAGCAGAGAAGGAGACAGAGAAGGAAAAACAAGAAGAAAACGATTCAGCATCAAAGGACACAGGGAAGGACAAAAAGGAGGAGAAAAGTTCAGAATCAAAGAAACAGGCAGAAAAAGACATAAGAGGGGAAGGTAAGAAAGAAAATGATAAAAAAGAAGAGGAAAAGGCTTCAGCTGTGAAAAAAAACAAGGCAGATGAGAATGATAAATCCCAGACAGAAGCAGAAAAGGCAGAAAAGGTGGAGGAGAAACAGGAGGCCAAGGCAGCAGCTGGGAGCAGCCCTTCCAAGTCTTCCTCCAGCAGCTCTGCAGATCAAGCCAAGGACGATGAAGCCTCCAGTATCTTTGACGAGCTCATCGAGAAGGTGAAGAACAACGATGCTGAGGTGACCGAGGTCAATGTGAACAACTCCGACTGCATCAACAACGAGACCCTGGTGCGCTTCACTGAGGCCCTAGAATTCAATACTGTGGTCAAGGTGTTTGCCCTGGCTAACACCCGTGCTGATGACCATGTGGCCTTTGCCATTGCCATAATGCTCAAGTCCAACAAGGTGCTGACAAGCATCAACTTGGACTCCAACCACATCACAGGCAAGGGTATCCTGGCCATTTTCCGAGCACTGTTGCAGAACAGCACACTGACAGAGCTACGCTTCCACAACCAGCGCCACATCTGTGGGGGAAAAACAGAAATGGAGATTGCCAAGCTCCTGAAAGAGAACACCACACTCCTGAAGCTGGGCTACCACTTTGAGCTGGCTGGGCCACGCATGACCGTCACCAACCTGCTGAGCCGAAACATGGACAGGCAGAGGCAGAAACGCCTCCAGGAGCAGAAACTGGCACAGGAACGGGGGGAGAAGAAAGACCTCCTGGAGGTGCCCAAGCCTGGAGCACTGCCAAAGGGGTCGCCCAAGGCATCTCCACAGCCATCCCCCAAGGCTTCCCCCAAAATCTCTCCCAAGAAAGGAGGGGCAGCCACCATGCCACCCCCACCTCCTCCTCCACTTGCCCCACCACTGATGATCAACGAGAACCTGAAGAACTCGCTCTCACCAGCCACACAGAGGAAGTTGGGAGACCGGGCGCTGCCAGTCCAGGAGAAGAACTCTCGGGACCAGCTCCTGGCAGCCATTCGTTCCAGCAACCTCAAACAGCTCAAGAAGGCAAGTGCAGGGCCAGGTGGGGCCGATGAACAGGGTGAGGGTGGGGGCTGGGGCCTGAGGTCATAGCCACTGTCACTCTGGCAGTTTCCTTCTCAGGAGTGGAGTTGTGTCCAACCCCTGCACAGAGGCAGATCCATCCCTTTGCCGAGCACATTCGGAAGGAAGATCCATCCTTTAATACCATCCTGCAGAGCAGATGGGGTCAGCAGGTTCATGCTGTGGCAGAGCATATAATAAGAGATCCATCCCTTGGCAGAGAGCATGACAGGTGCTGATCTGTTCCTTGGCAGAGCTCCTGTGTTGGGCAGATCCACCAGGATCCAGGGGCTGGGACACAAGGAAAAAGCCATCCATAAGTTATAACTCACTGGCCTCTTGCTGTATACAACAATATCTTCTTGTTGTGGCTGAGCCCATGCCCCTGGGGTAGAAGGTGGCCCAGGGTGGCTGGAGAGGTTTCATCTGCATTTAAACAACTGAAACATTTCTTGATGTCAGCCCCAGTCTGGGCTTGACTAAGGTTTTTGGACTCTTTACATATGAGTGAGTGAGTTGCTCTGAGAGTACTGACACAGCACCTTGGGGACCAGCAGAGAGGCGTGCCCTACTTCTCAAAACAGCTAGACTGTGTTAGCCAAGGGTGGCCTGGGTGCTTGAAAGCTGTTGCAGCAACTGCCCTCCTAATACAGGAGTCCCATGAATTCACCCTTGGGTAGCACATTGGCGAGTATGTACCCCATGCAGTAATAACTGCTGGAATAAAAGAGCCTAATTCTGGTCCCAGCATGCAGCCTTGAAACCTCTCACACACTCCAGGTGGTTTTGTGTCCCTGCTGTGCTGTCCATGGGCTGGAGTGTGGGGACAGCCAGCCTGGCCAAGAGAAAAAGGTCATTGAATGGTTTGGGCTGGAAGAAACCTTAGAGATAATCTCTTTCCTGTCATGGGCAGGGGCACCTTCCACTAGCCCAGGTTGCTCCAAACCCCATCCAACCTGGCCTTGGACACTTCCAGGCATGGGAAAGCCCCAGCTTCTCTGGGCAACCTGTGCCAGGACCTCCCCACATTCACAGGGAGGAATGAATCTCTCCCCAGTTTCCCATCTAACCCTGCCCTGGATATCACTACACCATGTAATGACATTCCTTCAACTGCTCCCGTTGCTTGCCCAATAATGGGATGTGCTTCCCTGCAGGTGGAGTTACCGAAGCTGCTGCAGTAGGGAGCAGGAGGATTTTTCCCCTACAGCCTGTGGCAGGCCCCCATACACTCACCTTTCTCGTGACTGTTTCCATGACAATCCCTTTGGAACCTGCAGTGACCAACGCCAAGGAGCAGGGATCTCTCTGGGACACGGAGAACGGGCCGAGCCCAGCAGGACATGATGGAGGAAGTTGTATTTATTTTTTGATGGTTGTGAAGCCTTCAAGCTCACTCTTCTACCAGCACTGTGCCTCGCCAGAGATGCCAAGAATAGAGCAAAGGTCTGGAGAGCTGATCCTTATGGAAATCCACTGTCAGAGTGTAACAAAGGGGTTTGGCACCCCACTCTATCCAGGGTCCAGCCTGGGGTGAGCAAGAGTACCCCCAGCCTTGGGGGGAGCAGGGGACACCCAGACCATCATCACATCACCACCAGGTTTCTGGGTGGCCAGCAGAGTTTTGGGATTCAGGCACAACAGTGGCTGCAGAGTCAGGGGTTCAGGCTTGACATCAGGAGGAATGGGAGGGTGGAAGAAGGGAGCAGCCAGGGAGAGAGGGGGCATGGAAGTGGTGGGACACAGGGAGCCAGGCTCGGGCCAGGAGCTCAGGGCATCTTGTACGCACCCACAGCACTGCAGGGGGACCCCCGGAACCTCAGAGCATGGAAACCAAATGCACCTCAGAGAGAGTAGGGAAAGCACCAGCTCAAGGGGGCAGTGGGTTTTGGGGTCATGTGATGCCCATCCCACCCCCCCATCCTTCCTGTCGTGACACCTTGATCATGATTTGTATGACTGCGGCCACTGCATCAGCAATAAAGCTCACCCAACGCTTCCTGTGCCTCTCGACAGCTCCACGCCCCCAAACCCCAAATTGAGGCGCAGGGGGTGTCTGGGAATGACGCAGCAACCTCAGCCAGGGGCAGCTCTTCCCTCTCCCACACCCATAGGTGACCCAGAACTGGGCACCCTGGGACCACCTGGACAACCCAACCTGGGTGTCCCTGGTCACCCACCCAGAATCTCTGCAAATGGGGCACCCAGGACCCCCCAAATGGGGCAGCCAAACACCCCCCCCCCCAAATGGGGCATCCTGCTGCTGCTGGACACAAACAACCAGGAACCCAGAGCCATGCAGACACCCCAAAACTCTGGAGTCACGAAGAACTGGACACCCCAGGACCACCCCACAGTCACACAGTCACCTAAAACCCTTTGAGTCCACCCAGAACTGGGAATCCTGGGCTGCCCAAGGGTCACCCCGAACTCTAAGGTAGTCTGGAACTGGGTGCCTCAGGGTCACCCTAAAACTCGGGGATGACCCCAAAACTGGGCACCCCAAACTCTCGGGTCACCCAGAACCGCTCTCCGCCTGGCACCACGGGACCGGGGGCCTTTTGGGGATGCAGCAGCACACAAGTGTTCGCCGGGAGGCTCCTCCTGTTCTGGGACACCCATGTGCGTGGCTGAGAGGCGGCTTCCGGTACAAGTGAAACGCCGTTTTGGGGAGCATTTCTGCAGCCAGGCAGCGCCGTGGCCCCAGCGGGAGGAGCAGTGTCCGTACCACGGGGTCCTCATGCCCCTCGCCCCGCATTCCTGCCCCTTGGGGCGGCCGCTGCTAACGCGGGCACCGCGGGGCCATTGGGACACCCCCTCTGGTCGGCCCCGACGGTGTCACCTGAACCGGGGCCCGGGGCGCGCCGGGGCAGCGCCGCTCCCGAGGGGGAGGGCGGGGCCGGCAGGGGGCGCCGCTAACGCTGCGGGGGCGCTGCTGTGCGCAGCGGGGCCGGCAGGGGGCGCCGTTAACGCACCGGGGCCGCCGTTAACGAACCGGGGGCGGAGCGGCGCGCGGCGGGGCCGGAGGGGCCGCGGGGCAGCCCCGGCCCGTCCTGTCCGTCCCGGATCCGGCAGCGGCAGCGCCCGACGGGGCTATTGCGGGTGTCCGGCTCCACTCCTCCGCTCGGTACCGGGGAACCGGCACACGGCACACGGCGGTGGCAATGGACGGCGGAGCGGCGGCATGAGGCGGCGGGGAGCATGGCGGCGGCGGGCGGCGGCGGGGCGCGGCGGGGGCTGCTGAAGCGGAAGCCGAACTTCACGCTGCAGGAGCTGGAGGTGCTGATGAGCGAAGTGCTCCGGTACGAGCCGCTGCTGTTCGGCGCCGCCGCCGGTACCGTGAACGCATACGAGAAGCAGAAGATCTGGTGGCGGATCACGCATAAGGTGAACGCCGCCGGCCGCCACCAGCGCGACATCGGCGAGGTGAAGAACCGCTGGCGGGGGCTACGCCGCCGCGCCGGGGACAAGATCAGCCGGCACCGGCTGGAGCGGCAGGGCCCGAACGGCAGGGCCGCCGCCAGGAACGGGAACACCGGGAGCACCGGGAATAACGGGAGCAACGGCAACGGCGGGGCCGAGTCCGGCCCGGGGCCCGCCCCCGCCCCCGTCTGGTGTCCTCGCGGCGCCGCCGGAACCGACCCTCCGATGCGCAGCGCCGAAGGGTCGGCACAGCACGGTGAATGTGCGGGCAGCGGCGGGGGCACGGACAGGGACGGGGCAGAGACGGACATGGGGGACCGGGACTAGGACGGGAGAGAACGGGGCAGCGTCACGGGGATGCTGGGACCAGGTTGCAGGGGGACCGGCACGCAGACACGGGCACCGGGACCGGTACAGGTGTATGGTGGGACGGGGACATGAAGAACCGGGACACAGATGTGGGAGACTGGGGCAGGGACTTGCTGGGTGACCGGGATGGGCATGGGGGACAAAATAGGGACCACGGATGAGGTGGAATGGGGACATCGAGAAACAGGTTTAGGAAGTGGGGAAAAGCAACAGGTACATTGGGACGCTGGGACCAGGACATATGCATGGAGGAATTTCTCCCCATTATCCCATCTAACCCTGGTCTCAAGAGAGATGAGGACCAGGACCAGAACATACAGGACCAGGACATGGACATAGGAAGCGAGGACACAGACACAGGGCCACTGGGATTGGGAGAAGATGGGAAGAACAGGGACACAAGGGGACCAGGAAGTGAAGGGATCAGGATACAGGAGACCACAATAGTGACATGGAGATACTGTGGCCAAATGTGGGGGTCCAGAACATAGACATGGGGGACTGGGACTTGGATGCAAGAGAACTGAGACTGAAACAGGTCATTGGACAGCTGCATGCAGGGACACAGGAGACCAGGGCCAGGGTGTGGGGGATCAGGAAAGGGACACAGCCAGACCAGGATGCAGGGGCAGGTGCATGGGGAGATGGGGATGGGAACTCAGGAGACCTGGTTCAGCACCTGGAGAACCAGGAGACAGGGCATCAGGACAGGGAGATGAGGAACTGGGACAGGGACACAGAGGCACTGTGGGGCACAGGGACCAGTACAGGGACATGGAGTAACCAGGACGCAGGGGACCAGGACAGAAACATGGTTCTGTGACAGGGACACAGGAGACCAGGACCAAGAGAAGGGGATGAGGAGCAAGAAACTGGGAGCAGGACATGTGTAGTGGGACCAGGACAGGAACACAGGAGATTAAAGCCAGGGCAGGGACACTGAGACCATACAATGGGGGATAGGGACTTGGATACAGGGGGCAATGGCAGGGACATGGGGGACTGGGACAGGGACATGAGGGATATGGGGACATCTTAAAGCATCACTAGGCCTGGGAAGATACATGGAGGAACTGGGACGCAGACCCAGGGCAGTGATGTGAGGGGACTGGGACCAAGATGTTGGAAAAACCAGGACCAGGACACTGGGACCACTACAGGTGCATGGAGGGACTGGGGCAGGAACAGTGGGGCAGGGACACAAAGGGAACATAGAGCAAAGAGATAAGAATATAGAATATTGGGACAGGGACATGGGTGACAGGGATGTGGGAGGACCAGGACAGGGACTCAGGAGACAGGGAGAATAACATCTAGACTAGGACAGAAGGGTACCAGGATCAGGACAAGGATATGGGTGACTGGGATTAGGACAGGGACAAAAGGCACAGGGTACTGGGACCTGGACACGGATAAGAAGGGGCTGGGAACAGAGCAAAGACGTGGTGGGGCTAGGACAGTGACATGGGGCAGGACCAGGAGAGAGACAAGAAACATGTCATACTGGGACCAGAATAGGGACATGGGGGTTAGTGGGGTGAGAACTGGGACATGGTGGTACCAGGACCAAACAGGAACATAGAGGCACCACATTCAGGACAGGGATGTGTGTAGACTACGGCAGGGATGTGGGGGTACCAGGACCATACAGGCACATGGGGACACCACAATCAGGACAGGGGTATGGGCGTACTGGGAACAGAAGAGGGACAAGGGACATGGGATGGGGTTGAACCATCATGAGGGACACGGGACTATGGAGATAGATGCAGATGGAATCAGGACTGGGCACAGGAGAGGGAATGCGGGAGCACAGGGATGGAGACAACAGGGTCTGTCACTTGGTCCGTGGGGCACTGGGGCACACGGGAGAGCCTGCAGCTGCCTTGTGCTCCCCCTCCGTCCCACAGGTGTCAAGGAGCCGGTGAAGGAGGAGCCTGTGGAGGTGAAGACTGAGCCCTTCCACGGCCCCGCTGCCGACGGCATTGCCGGCCGCGGCTCAGACTGTCGGCTGCCCCGCACCGGCATCTGCCCGCCCAGCGAGCTGTGCGAGGGCTGGAGCCGGAGCCCCCCGCGCTCCGCACCCTCCGAACTCTCCCTCGGCGACCTCCGCGGCCAGCAGGAGCCGCTGGGCTCCGACTTCCCGAGCCTGCTGTTGGATCCGGAGGCCGAGCAGCTCAGTCACTGCGGCGGCGGGCGAGGCGGGGCCCCCCGGGCCGGCGGGGCTGGACGGGGACCCCCGAGTGCCCCCAGATCAGCCTCGTGCAGTCCAGTGAGCGGCTGGTGCAGGAGATGCGGGGCGTTCCGCCGGGAATACGCCGAGAGCCGTCGGGAGACCACGGCGGTGCTGCGCGGCATCGCCCAGGCACTCGGCGTGCTCAGTCGCAGCCTGGCCGAAATCCGTGACCTCTACCTCCGGGAGCGGGGGGTCCACAAATCATAAGCCTCCCACGCAGCTGGCTGTGTACACACACCCCTCCGCCGAGAACCCACGACGCTGCTTTTATTATTATTTTTATTATTATTTCTTTTCCTCTCCATCCCACTTCAATAAAACTCGGAGCTGCACCCCATGGCTCCCCCCATGCCGGGCACCTCAGAGGGTTTTTGAGGATGATGCAGCGGGCTGAGATATGTGACAGGGCAGGGATTTGTCCCTCCAAATGGCTCTGCCTGGCTTTTGTCCTGGACTGATGGACTCTGGTCCCAAATTTAGCCAGCAATGCTGGCAGGGATGAATCCCAGCAGGAACAACCATTGGGCTGACACACCACCCACCTTCCCCCACTTATTCCTATTCAGGGGAGGGGGCATGGATAGAGGAATTGTTCATGCGCCCACAGTCCCACTCCTGGCGCAGAATTTGCTGTTTTCTCACTTGAAAGATTCCAGGGGTGGTTTCACACCCCCGTTTTGAGTGAGAAGGGGCTGGGTGGGCAGCAGCACTCCAGGCTGGCTCATCCAAGCAGCTGATTTGGTGGGAATTACCCATCCCAACACAATTTTGGGATGGAGAAGTCTTGGGAGCAGAAGGGACAGGGCGGAATTCATGTTCCCCCCATCATACAATTAGCGGAATGGGATTTGGGGTGTTGCCCTCCCTTTTTTCCCCATTAGAGAGTCACCGAGACGACACTAGGCTGTGGGCACAAGATGTGGTTTAATGCCAACCCCGGAGGGAAGAACCAGGGGTGAATCTGGGGGCAGGTGCGTAGGGAGACAGCGGTGCACGGCCCTCGGAGGACCCTTCCCCGGGAACCCCTCCGCGGGTGCTTGGGGCCACTGGCACCCAGAGCTGGGGGTAGACGCCCACAAAGGCCCAGTGTGTGGCACAAGGGCTGCCCTGTTCTGCTGGCACCGGATCACCCCAGGCTGGCTGGGAAGAGCACGATCCAGCGCCGGCTAAGGCAGCCTCCCAACGCCAGGGGCAGGTCTCTGGGGTCTCCAGCCTGGCCCCGCTGGCCGGCGGCGGGTGCAGGGGTCCCTGCGAGGACTTACGCTCGGGGTAGCTGGGCTGTGCCGGGACGTAGGGTGGTGGTGCTGTGGGGGGAGCAGATGGGGTGTCACCACACCACCAGGCCCCAGGAGAATAGGGAGGGTCCCTCTTCCGCCCCGGTGCTCACCTGTGGGGTTGTAGACAGGGGGCCGGAGGGGTACATGGGGTACTGGGCGGCAGGGCCGGGCGGGGGGTACATGGCCATGGGGGTGAAGCCAGGCTGGGGAGGTGTAGGGCCGGCTTTGGGGTCCATGGGAAAGGGAGCTGGGGGAGCTGCAGGGGGGTAGCTGGACAGGGAATTTCCGGGCCTGCGGAAGAGATTGGAGAGTCTGCAGCACCCTGACACAGGGACAGGGATGGTGCCTAAGAGTGGCAGCGGCCCTCAGGTTGGTGGGTGCTGAGGTGTTATCCACACCCTCACTGCCATGCCAGATTTTCCCCCCTCCTCCTCCCTTCAGGTCCCACCAACTCACCCCCCCGCCCCCACCACAATCCCTCCACCATGTACCTCAGGATCTCTCCTTCTCTTCCATCTCTGTACCCTACCCTCCTCCTACACCTTCATCCCTGCAGTCCACCCCGCACCCTCCCGATCCTCCTCTGCATTCCAACAGCCCCCCTTCTCTTTGCCTCTCCCACCACTCCCCCCACCTACAGACTCTTCTGCTCCCTCTCATCTCTTCAGCTTCCACCTTTCACCTCAACACCCCTGCACATCTCTAGCACCCCCTGCCAGACCCCTTCACCCTGTACCCACAGGATCCTGCAAACTCTCATCCCTACAACTTCCCCCTTTCCATCCCCAGGCCTCCCTGCATTCCTTGAGGCCTCCTCAACATCCCACCACCCTGAACCTCCAGAACCCTTCTGTAGCTCCCCCCATCCGTGCTGTCCAACTCCCACACTCTGATCCCTCCTGCATTCCTCCAGGCCCCCCGTCCTTGCCTCTTCCCAAACCTCTTCACTCTCTACCTACAGGACCCTCCTGCATCTCCCACCCTTATAGCCCACACACACACCCCAATTCCCACAGGCCTCTGTTCAGGCTCCCCCAGTCCCCCACCCTGTCTCTACAGCACCATCATGCACCAAGCCTCCTCCCCGCCTCCCATCCCCCATTCCCCCAGGTCCACTCAACCCTGCACGTCCTTACCTGCAGGACCCTCTCCTCCTGCACACCCTTCATCCCCTATCCCTACAGCCCTCCACCAGAACGCTTTTCCCCCTGAAACCCTCCAGGCCCCCTCAACCCCACTCCACCATCTTTTCCTACAGTACCCTCCTCCACCTCCTCCTCCCGCACCCCCATCCCTGCCCTCCAGCCCCACACCTTGCAGGGGGGTGCGGGGATGCTGCCGGCGCTGGTACAAGTAGCAGCAGGAGCACATGAAGCAGCAGACGATGGTGGTGACGATGGCGATGAAAAGCACCACGGCTGAGGCGATGCCCGCGATGGTCTTGGGGCTGTAGGACCCCCAGGCATGGGGAGCAGGGGCTGGGGGGCACCCAGGGTACACACCAGCACCCAGCCAGCACCCACTGATACTGCCCACTGCCCCATGCCCAGCACTCAGTGACACTGCTCAGTGCCCAGAACCAATGCCCGTGACATTGTCCAGCACTGCTATCAGCATCCAGTAGCAGTGACCACTGCCCAGCAAGCACCCAGTAGCATTGCCCACCCAGTAGCATTGCCCACCCAGCAGCAGTGCCCACCCAGTAGCAGAGCCCACCCAGCAGCATTGCCCAGTACCCAGTTCCAATGCCCTGTACCAGTGCCCACTGCCCAATGACCAGCATCCAGTAGCAGTTAAGCAGTGCCCAGCACCATCCAGCACCCAGTGCAAGCTTCCAGTACCAACATCCAGCACCCAGTGCCAACACCCAGTACCAGTGACCAATCTGCAGAATCCATCCCCCAGTGTGCTGGTCCCAGCACCAGTGCACAGCAACCAGTGCCCAGTACCAATGTCCAGCACCCAGAACCAAATACCAGCACCCAGTACCAAGTGCACAGCACCCAGTAGCAGTGCACAGCACCCACTGCAAAGCACCAGTGCCCAGAGACCAACAACCCAATGCCAGTATCCAACACCCAGTACCACTGCCCAGTGCCCAGTACCCAACACTCAATACCCGGCACCCAATGTTAGTGCCAGCACCCAGAGCCAACAGCCTGGCAACACAGTAGCACTGCCCAGTGCCCAGAACCAGTGCACTGCACCTGCATTGAGCATCCAGTAACAGTGCCCATGCCCAACACCCAGTGCCCCCACCAAGTACCAGTGCACAGCACCCAGCATTCAGTACGAGTGCCCAGTAGCAGTGCTCAGCAGACAGCACCACTGCTGAATGCCCACAACTCAATGCCCAGCACCAAGTACCAGTGCCCAGCACCCAATGCCCAATACCCACTACAAGGGCCCAGATGCTACTGCCCAGCACCACTGCCCACTGCAGAGCACACAATGACCATCACCCAGTACAACTGCCCATCACCAGCATGCAGTACTTAGTGCCCAGCACCCAGTCCCAGCACCCAGCCCACCCTGGAGAGCCCCCAGCCCCATCAGCCCCAGCTGTGGCACCTGAAGGCAAGGCAGTGGCGCTGCTGGCGCTCGGTGAGCAGGCGCAGAGGGTCTCGGCAGCAGTACCGCTGGTGGCATGTGCCGCAGCAGAAGGTGAAGAACTCGCAGTCGAAGCCAGGGTGCCACGACCCATTTCTGTCCACATACCACAGGCAGTCTTCGCCCCCGGCCACTGTGGACAGCCGCCCGTCACCGGGGCCTTGGAGCACCTTGGACCACCACCCTCAGGGGTATCAGCAGCACCCCATGCCCTTCCTCCCTCACATGAGCACAGCCTGTACCCCACTGTGTCCTATTCCCCTCGTACCCCGTTCCATCCTGCCCCAAAGTGTGTCCCTATACACCCCCAAATACCCTGCTCCTTCCTGTCCCCCTGTCCCCCTGTCCCTCATACCCAGCCCCATATCTCCTATACCCTGCTTCATCCTGCCCCATGGATCCCCAGACTGTGCCGCTATGTACCCCTAAACCCCTGCTCTGCTCCATCCTGCCTCATATCCCTTAAAACCCTGCTCTGTCATGCCCTTGTGTACCCCCATATCCTGCTCCATCCCACTCCACTTCCCCCTATGTGCCCCCATACCCTACTTCATCCAGCCCTACATCCTTGCAGAAGCCCCTCCATCCCACCCAGATCTCCGACCCCTCCAGATTCCTCCAGATCTGCCCAGCTTCCCGTCCTTCTGCGTGTTCCAGCAGCACTTCCCACTCTATTTCTGTCCGAAGCCACCTGTCTTCCCAGAAATAGCCGCAGGCCGAGGCCCGGGGGCGGCCAGGGGCGCCGGGGCAGGGGGTGGGCAGCCAAGGAAATGGCTTTGCGGGAATCTCACATGGCATTATTCACACACCCCAAAATGGGACCACGGCAGCTCAGGGACAAGTGGGGAAACTGAGGCACGGGGTTAGTGCATAGGAAGCCTCCAGATTGCCCCGGGCTGGGATCCCGGCTCGGTTAGCCACCGGCTCCGTGCCTGCTGTTCCCGGGGACACCCCGAAAGCAGCAAATGGGAGGCCAGATTTGGGGGGAGTGGACAGCTCCCAGGGGACACTGTGTGGCAAGCAACCCCCGGTCAAAAGGGCCGTGTGTGGCACTAAGTCCCTCCCACCCAGCGGGAACCCTGTGTCACAGATGGTGGCACCGTATCCAGTCGCAGGGTGGCACCGGATCCCCCGGCCCTCCCCGGTCCCCGTGTATCACTTACCCATCGAGGCGGCCACGGCCACCAGCAGGGTCCCAGCCAGGGGCCAGCCGCTCCCGGGGCCGCCGGGCCCCATCCCGGGGCCGGGCCCGGTGTCCCCGCTCAGAGCTGCCCGGGACAAGGGCGGCGGCTGCGCGGCGGCACCGGGACCGGGGCCGCTCCCGAAGCCGGTCCTGGTGCCGCCCGGTGCCGGTGCCGCGGGGCCGCTGCTTCTGCCGGTATCTCTCGGTGCCGGTGCGGGTCCAGCGCAGGCCCGCAGTGACGCCGCAGCCCGGCGGCGCTCGG